TTTGAGTTCATTATCTTGACCAAACCAACCAAACATGGACTCCAGGTACCACAAACTCCCTGTACGGGCGTGACTATGATAGAATGTTATTAAACCAATGTTTGAGATTTAACTCCAAACATTTATATGTTTATATTTATGTCAAACAAAGATGTAGTAAATTACAATGTGTGGAGTCTAGCAACAAAAAAAGCATTAAAATTCTCGTTACCTCCCTGCACCAAGCGTCAGATCAACAAATTGATAAAACAATTTTTTACTATACTCAGCTGAATTTGTTTTTATCCATAAGTTTTAAATTTATCGATGAAAACAAATTCAATCGATAATAAAATGGTCTCTTAGCGTTCAAAAATTAAGACCGAATAAAGTTTGTAACCCCCTTAAATTGAGGAGATTACAAATTTTAGTTCCAATATTAGTAACAAATTTTATCTCAAAAATCAAAAAATACTGCATCCGCCACTGTTTTAACTAGGATAATGTGTGACAGTAAGAGGTCTGCGGTTTAATGCATGCTTTTAAGCACATAAGAAAAATTGGTGAGTAAGACTGCAAAAAATAAGAATGATGGCTAAAAAACGTGGTTTTAATCCTTAAAGATTAAATTATACAAGTTAATAAGGATTTGTTATGCGCATTGGTTAGCATGATTTTTATTTTAAAAAAAGGATTGTGTTAATAGTTAATAGCAGAAACGCTATAAGACTTCATACCGAGAAATTGATTGTTAAAAATCCTTCCTCCTTTCCCTTAAAAACAAAAGAACAAAACAAAACAAAACAAAAAACATTAATCATAGCAATAATGAAACAATTGTAAGACTTAACAACTACTTAAAAAGTTCTGCATTTAAAACATTGTACAAATTAAATAATTAAATACAATAAGAAAAAAAAAAACATTTACGGATTTGGTATTAAGGCTTTAACATTATTGCAAGTTGACTTTCTTTTTCAAGGAGATTTTCTAGTATAAGCTGGAAGCAACAAGTTAGCAACTAGTTGGAAGTGACACCATCATCAAACTGTCTCATTCTTTCTATAAAAACAGCATCTATTTTGATAGAAAGGATGAGACAGTTGATTAGAGAATCCTGTTCTATTGTATCACATAGAGTTCTTGATTGGTACTAGCATACTGAAGGATCTCTCACATGAAGCAACGATACTAACAAGATATTTATCACTTTTTGCTAGGTTTGTTGTAATTGTTCTTTCTTTATATATTAACAAAATTTATTTCAAAACCAAGTTAAGCTGCTATTTTTTGCTGGTGGCTTATCCTCTTTAAGTTTTTGAAAAAAGTCTTCAACACTACCACGGTGAAATGTTTGCTGAAAATGACTGCAAGAAGGTTGTGATTTTTGCTTTGGATATAATCTGTTGTTGTTAAGGTTGTGTTGGTGATTCTTGCTTTGGACATAATCTGTTGCCACATTTTGAGGTTCATATCAATGCATGTTAAGAGTGCTACACAACACTGCTGGTCACAGTGACACATAAAAATTCACGCTGTTTTCCACCACATCAAAGAGTTCATCAAAATTCAAAACACTGGATTTTGTTGTTAAAGTAAGCAATCATCGGAGATACTTCATTCAGTCTTTATCTGCTTCTAGATAAAGATACAAAAGAGGTTTGGACAACCCCAACTATCGAAGCCAGTTGTTTAACTAGATCCTCAACTACAACAGCATCTTTAAATTAGTCTGAAAAAAAAAAAGATCTTTGTTTTAGTAACAGTATGACTCCAATTTTTATTATCTATAAGATAACCTGTTACGTAAAAAAAGGCAAAAAATAAAGCAATTTAGTATATCGAAGTACAGCAAAAACTACCTGCATCCCTTCTTTAAAATTGATGACATATCTACCATCCTCATTCGAAACAAATTAAATCTGTTTATCAGACTACTGAACAATCCAACTTGTTTTTCCCTGATTTTGGCTCAGATATCTGATATTACTAAAGATAACCTATTTATCAACGAAGTAATAAAAATTTGCAATCAACTTGAGCTAAACTTTGTGCAGTGTTTGATAGAGGGGAAAAAAATAACGGTAAAACGTTGCTACAATGACGTAGGAGAAAATATAGCGGCGAATTTGAACCATTCTTTTGAATTCTGGAATATCAGAGAACTAAGACTGGTATTTACTAAGTTGATGGAGGAAAACATCCCAAGAAAAATTTTAATTTTTTACACTGAAAGTATAAACTATTAGTTTTATACAATTTGTTTTTTTACCTGTAATTTGGGTGTTAAAAAGAATAAATAAATAAATAAAAATAGGCAATCCAAGTTTTCTTTTTCCCTTATTTTTGTATCCTTATGTCTTTTTAACGTAAAAAATATAGTTACGGACACAAAAATTATCAAGGGCTAAAAAAATTATGAAAATTTTTATTAAAAACTTTAAAAATAATTTCTTTACTTGCTTCGCTTTGAAACCCCGTAAATCAACCCGATGAAAAGATAATTACTTTTTCTACTGAAAGACTATGAATACTCTATAGTCTTATACTGTTTTACAAATTTAGATGCTCTTTGTAACATTTTGATGGAAATTGACAGTACTAAATATTTTCGGACACTGATAGGTATTTACATATCAGTGTCAGAAAATATTTAATTAAATAATAGGCGTCCAACCCTGGTTTACTATTAGAAGTTATAAAATATTGAACGTTGTTGATTAGTTAGCTACATATACGCTACATATACGCTATCTACATATCGTAGCTTTGTATCTAGCTACAATATATCTACAAATCTATAACTAGTTGAATGCTACATTTCAACAATAAAACTTTTTAGACAGCAATTTATTACAATATGACACTAGCTAAAATTTTTACAGTTTGTAGTCATTATAGTTCATTTGTGTCTTGGCTTGATGATACCAAATAACAGCTTTCATTAAAGCTGTTATTACAATATTTTATGCAATAACGTTGAATCTTAGTGCAATCTTCACAAAAAATGCAATAATATCACAAGGAACCATATATTTCTATAAAGCAAGGCGCATATAATAGATACGGTGCTTTAGAACTAGTATGCATGGTTTTGATAACACCTGTTTTGAACTTTTTTAGTAATCATGTCATGAAATTTTCATTTTTTAAAACCAAAAAGATATACGTATTTAAGGGAATTTATTTCAAATTTTGTTTTTATATTATCATTATATAATTTTTTGTATTAAATCATATCATATCATATTATAGATATTTAACTCGAGCCGCGGTTGTGAAGTAAATTTGTTTATTGGAAGCCATATTGAATACTGAAAAAAGATTATTAAAAGTTATTAGATTTTACTTTTGTTACTCAAAAACTGGTCCTGTTTTGCTTATGGTTGTGCGAAACGATTTACTATAGCTAATGAAATATCTTTTCATAAGTTCTCCCTTTAAAGATAGCGATCTCTGTTAAAAATAGTTTGTGTCAACAAAAAGAGCTACATTTATTCCAAGTTGTAATAAATGTAGCTCTTTTTGTTGAAATCCAACAAAATGTAGTTATATATATGGTGTGACCACTTTGATAAAAAAAATTACAATTTTTTACCAGAGTTTTCTAAAGATGCTTTTTCTTACTTGAAACAAAAGGTGTTAGATAATACCTTCTAATACCTTCTAATATAAGGTATTGCATATAATTTATATGTAATATCTTCTAATACTTTTTGTAGAACCAAAAAATCTTTGGTTCTACAAAAGATCAAAGATCTACAAAAACAAAGATCTTTGAAAGATCAGATGTTTGGTTCTATGCATATAAAATCAGGTCTTGTTTATAATCCAAGTAATAATAATATTACAAAGATCTTTGTTTTGTTTTTATTAATAAGTATGAAGGCTTTTTAGATTATGGAAACAATATATCTACTTTTGATCCAAATAGCATAGCTACTGAGGCTCTTATAATAAATACAATAGCCTCAGTAGCTATGCTTGTTGGACTTTTAAGGCCTTTGTAAATGTCCTATTGGTTATGTTCTTGGTAAAAAGAGCTCAACAATAAACTTAATTTACCTTTTAACTAAATCAGTGAAGTAAAACAACATAACTTGTTATGGTTTTTTTACCAATTTTTTCTGAACTTTTTCAAATAAAGTCAAGTTTCAAAAAAATTATTTAAAAATTTTTTTGGATTTGTTCAAAGCATGCAATTCCATGCTTTAACCATGCTTTGATTTTTGGTCCTAACAACTTTGAAGATTATTTAAATTTATGAAAGATAACCAAGATAATTTGTAAAATAATGTGTAGTCAATAGTGATGCAATTTGCGCAAATTGCATCACTATTGACTTATGAAATTAAAAAAAATAAGCTATACAATGTTTAGAGATAAGTTATTTGTAATTAATATAAAATATAGTAGTAAAAATATTTTTATAATGTATCTACATAATCTAATTCATGTTCAGTTTTTTTAAATCATATAATAAATTGACAGTTTTTTTCCATAGCATTTGACTTATTTTTATAATAATAAATTTAAAGTTACATTAATTACTTTAAATTTACTATTATAAAAATAATGTTCAGATAAGGCTTATATTTTATTTTTATAATTTCTTGCAAAAACTTTACTTATTTACAATGTTTTGCCAGTATTCACAACATAGCTTCCCCAAAAAGCCTCACTTTTCCTAACAAAATTTTTAGAGTTAGACATCTACATAATTATATATCATAGACTTTAAATAATTCAGCTTTAACTAGGTCCTAGTTGCTTTAGGAGTTGTTTTTTTCTCACCATGGTTGGATAGATATTATATTTGTGGCAGTTGTTAAAAAATGCATGAAAATCCACTAAATTTTTCAATAAAAGTTTTTAAAAAAGTTATAAGTAATTAAAAAATAAAAAATTATATTATAAAAAATTATATTTAATTCACGAAAATAAAGTTATTTGTTTTAAACTTTCTGTTTTGACCTCCCAAATTAAGTAAACATAAAATAGTTTAACCAAAAAAAAAAAAA